AAGCCGCAGTAATCAAGAAGCAAATGGGTCACCTCGTTTAGCGACGTCTCCTYGTTTCAACCCACATCAAAGAAAACGAGCTCCGTGCTTCCCGTAAAYGCTTCACATTTCTCTTTTATCTCCACGTTCTGCATCAGATAATTACCGTGTTTCTCTTTAATGTGGAGGATTTGATGTAAGAACAAAATAAGTGATGGAAGGCTGCTTTGAGTGTAGATTCCTCCGTATTTGAGTTCTGCCTCACATTTGAGGACAAAACTGAAACTTTTCCTAAAGTTAATCAGGTTTAGTTAGCAGTTGTGTCAAACTGGCCACACAGATCTACTCTTTCTCTTGATATCCTAACTGAACGCTAACGACTCATAAAGAAAAGTGTCCCAATCTTTTTTGAGATGTAAGATAAAGGAGGGCAGTGCTGTTCAGCCTTGGTTAAGGGTTCATTTATAAAAAAAATACTGGGGGTCGGAGGCCCACAGGCGATTATCCAAACTACTTGTTATCAGAGCTCTGTTCTAACTCTGGTGAAAAGAAGAGAGCAGCAATTCATTTCTAAAACAGATTTGTGGAAGGCTCACTTTAAACACAACAGGATATGAGCTCAACATTATGATGCTGTATAAACTGGGGAGCAAACGAACAGCTGCAAACAGCACTAAACTCATCAATCCAAAAATAAGCTCTTGATTAGACTTAAAATGTCTTAAATCAATCTTTCAAGGTCCTAAAAACATGAACACATTGTAAAAAGGATGCTTGTTAACCTTTATTTTTTTTAGATAACTTACTGAATTCCTCTGGCAGCTTCTTGTTTTGTGTTAAAATAAACATTTGGGTAAAACTGTCGCCATTTTTTTTTCATTTATGTTTATTGTGAAGTCTTTATTTTCATTAAAAGTTGCATTAAAAAGGTTTTAAATTGAACTTGCCTTAATGCTGTTCGAACACACCTGATTCAATGATTGCATTAYCTCTTCAAGTTCTGCAGAAGCCTGTTGTTGGAGCAGAGAAACAAGTCAAACATGCAGGATAGTGGTCTTCAGGGGCCCGGATTGGACCCCCCGATCCACGAGGCTGTCTGCACACTCTCATGTTTCAGTGGAAAATTTTAACTTGTAATTTAGTGCCAATAGATCAATCCTCCATTTAGTATTTTCACACCAAGCAGTAGGCCTGTCCCGTATCATTTCTGTGACGAAGAGGACATTAAAGAGTTTGAGTTATCAAGCTTTGAGATATGAGCTGCATCATAAGTTTCTGTGTTAAAAACAGCCACAGTGATGCAGTGAAAACTGTTTGGTGTTTTAGTCAAGAAGCATTAAAGACATATTTTATGCTGAAATGTTTTGCAGGTTAATTTTTTATGTTACAAAAATGTAGTTTATGTAAAAAGAAATGATTCTTCAACCAATGTGCAACGTTTTAATTCTATGAATAAAATTATTTCTGTATGTTAGCTATTGCAATAAAAATAATCTCTTTATTTTTTATTCAATCTTCCTCTAAAACTCATTCCAAAGGTTTTACTTGGTAAAAAAAAAAAAAAAATGCGCATTTCTTTGTGTGGCGTCAACAATGCTCCATTTAAACCAAATGTAATTCAATCCRACTGGTTCTTCCTGTCCTAGTTAACTTTGAATCGTGTTAAGCCTTGACAACAATCGGAGACATTTTGGCTTTGTAAACAAGAGTCTAGTTTCAAAGGGTAATAATTTAACCCTTGCCTGTTGTACCTTTTGTACCTTTTTATAGTGTTAGGAGCCACGGRGTGGAGCTGGGAGTGACAGAGGGAAATATGATGCAGTTTGTGAATGTTTGGACCTTTTAAAAGACGCTGCTTGAGCTGCATTTATTTAATGAAAGCTGTGTTCTTTTCTCAAAGTTTATGTGTTTTTACAGATTTCTTTTGTAAGATATCTTTGCAGTGGTGGGGACTATAAATGTTTTAGAGAAATTTAAACAGAAATATTGATTCTGCGAAAAAAAATAAGCTCAGACTTTTTGCTCATTTTTGTTTTAAAGTAAAKTCCCAGGAAAACAGGAGTTTCCTCACTTTAAATCTGTTAAAAAGTGTGGCAGCAGCTGCAGAGCTCTGTGTTTACGGCTCTCTGGGCAGTTCTCAGCAGCTCCTGTGGAGTCTGGCAGTAAAACCTGCAGCTTCTGGGAGCCGCCTGTCCCGTCCCTGAGTGGATTGGGTTTGTTCTGCGGCTTAAAGCAAAYGGTCACCAGGGACTCGGGGGGCTCAGATACAAGGCTCTTACCCGGGGACTTTATTTGTGTTGCTGGATGGATTTTTTTCAGGTTTCTGTCAGACCCTGTAACACTGTGGATTCTGTCCAGGCAGCTCCTTATGAGCTCTGAGCATCCTGTTCTACGTTYTCCACTGTTTAGGAGATGATGACGGTTTTTGGCACTGATGAAGACCCCAGTGAGCTCCTTATTAGAGCATGATGCTTTAATTGTTTTGAGCAAACATAGCGAGGTTGTGGTGTTTTAGAGATGGAGGTCCAGGGGATCCATAACCTGGTCATTAAGAATTTGAAACTGGACTGGCTGCAGGGGCCTCGTGCCCAGGATTATCATGGCAGCATCCCAACCCAGACCTGATCCCAGATATTTGAGTTTTAACCTGACCTCAGCGGAGAACCTAAACCATGATGAGAGCAAAGGGCACTATCTCAGGGGTTCAATGTAGCATCGTCACGAGTTCCTTCACTTCTGAAGGTTTTCTAGATTTCCTGAGTCTGACATTTGGTTTAGGTCGTAAAAAGTGCAGCAGSGTCATTATCCAGCAGGAACAGAACTTAAAAACTGCCCTCCAAACTACAATAATACTGTATTTATGCTGGTTTTATTCCCTTTTATTCCTTGCTTTTTGTCTTTGTCAGTAAAAAAAGTTGCAACGTTGCAAACTTTTCCTATCATTCATCATTACTCAGACACATATAAGCACTTTTCTAGCCTTAAACATGGTCTACTTCAACACAAAGTACAAGATTTATCATGAAAGTAGGTCTGTGTTTTCAAAAGAAGAAATGGTAGAAGTTCTTATATTTACTGGTATTTAAAATTAGTGTTTGCTTTTAAACAAACAGGAAAAAAAACATAATGAAGCAGCTGTAAGTTGGTTATTTTTCATGACTCGTGGACGAGCTGTCCACACCTCAGGTTGGTGACTGGATTATTCTGTGCAGAACGTTTCACTTTTTTTCTGTCTGAGAAATAAATGGAACAATCTGAAAGATGCTGAAAAGACCTTCAAGATTCAGCCGAATGAAAAAAGGAAAAACCAATTTAGATAAGAGTTTGTCAGTCAGAGCTTTTGTTTTTCCAAATGGACCTGCTGCAGCCTGAAGGAGAAAACATTTTTCTGTAAACAAGGGAAAATCATTACGTTCTGATTCCTCATTAGGATCCTTTTCTGAAGAGAAACATCAGGGAGCTGATGCAAACTGCTAGTTAGAGCATAAAGAAATGTATAAATGAGACGATACTGTACGTTAATAATTCATCTCGAGCTTGTATTTCATGAAAACGAAGCCATTGGGTCGATGATCATCGACTCCACGAGGCTGTGAGTCGTTTTTCTTCATCGGTGAACTCGTTCAGCCGTGGCTCTGTGGTCACAGCAACCAAAACCCAAAGAAGTGGGATCAGAGCGTGGTGGTCTTACTCTGAGCTGTTTGGTATTCTGCGAGGCGGACGCCTCAACATCACGCCTCACTAAAGTCAGAGAGGACGTCTGCCAGCCGGAGCTGCTCTGTAAACCCACCTGAATGAGAGGGTCCCAAATAATTTGTTACACAGCTGAACRGCAGCAACACTGCTGGAAGCCTGTAGTGTAACTGAGCTTACCTCATCTAAATCTGGTTCTGTATTACTGATTCTGCTTGAAGAGAGGGTTCAACCTTTACAGTCATTCTAACTGAACAGATTTCTGTTTCATAAACTGCAAATTTATTTAATAAAACATGTGAGGATTTAAATTTTGATTTTCCTTCAAGAAAAGCTGGGTGTTTATTCATATCATCTCTAAAAAACGTAAAGCATCAAACAGGAGTTTGATAAAACATCTATGAAAAATTCAAAAGAGGATTAGGACCACTGGGGATCAAAAAAAATACTGAGATAAAAGTCAWTTTTTTTCTTTTCCCAGTGGCCCTAATTTGTTTTCGTAAACGAATTCTGAGATTAAAGTCAGAATTCTGACTTTTTTTTCTAATTCTGAGGAAAAATATTCTGAATTTTGAGAGATTAAAGTCAGAATTCTAAGATTATTATTTTCCATTGGCCCTAATCCTCTTTCATAAACATCAGACTTGAATTAATAAAGAGTATTTTTCTCATTTTAATTTTCTCTCACCAATAAAAACACATAATGACACCAGCTGTAAGAATCAACGTGTCTGAAACATTAAAAACATAAAACTTCAGATTTGGTTTCTAACAGAAGGAAATAATTCACCAAAAGAATTTAGAAAAAAATAAAATACAATTTAAAGTTTATTAAAGTGTTTGACCGACATGAGTCCATGTTACAACGGGATTCAGGTGTTGACCTTGACCCTCCTCCCGCAGGTCGGGGGTCTCCTTAGGGTCTCCTCAGAATAAATGATCAGATTTGAACGTCAGGGATATGAAAATGATTTGATTTCACAGTAATCTGAAACGATGCAGCTGCAGAGAGCTGCAAACTGAATCATGAGCAGAGTTCTGCAGGTAATGTGCTCTAAAAGCCCAGCGGGTTCTGTGTGAAGCCTTGTCCATCCATTTCTGCAGGAAGCGAAGGAGAACCTGCTGACCCGGTCCGGTCCCAGCCCCCCGCCCTCATGCATCATCGCCCCGCCGTCCTCATTCATCTCTGTTATCGATTCATCTGTGGAATTGCTTTTGCCATGACGCAACCCAGGGAGGAGGTCCGCCGCACACGCGGGGCGCTGACCTCCGACCCCCCCACCTCATAAATCATCCCCTCCGCTGAAACGTCTCGTTCTCCTCTGCAGGGTCAAAGCTAAGAAGGGGGTGAACCTGGTGCAGACCAAGTCCAAGAATGCCCAGTGGAAGGTGGACTGGGAGGTGCAGTCCGGCGCCAAGCATTCCATCACCACCGTGGACGTGAGCAAGAACAAAGCAGTCAGGCAGGGGTAAGTCAACAACCGGGGGTCCCCACACACCCACCCTCACACCTCTGCAAACACAGACGGCTATTTCATCCTTCTGCTGCACAACATCTGTTAGCAAAATWTCTCACAAACCACTGGAAGAGTTGAACGAAACATTCAGGAACTGTKTGCATTTCTAAAAGACCCTGCAGCTCATTAACTTCTTCAGTCTCRGGGGGCTTTCTTTATGTTTGTGCTCAAAATAWTGWGCAGAGATGTAACTGAGTCTCAGCATTTACAAACTATCTTAATGAYCTTTGTATCAAAATAAAGCTAATATTTGTTGTTGTTTTTTTCTGCCTCACTAGAAGTTTTTTTTTAAATAAGCCTTTTAGAAATATGATGAATCAGGCTAAAAACTCTTGGAAAYCATAAATCCACATGTTTGACATCATCAAAGATTAATTCTGCTAAAATAAACTGGAGCAAAGTTCCAGAGGTTTTAATAAGAAATAACTCTGAGTTTTATCATTCTGCACAGGATGGAGCATCAATAAATATTACAAAATCTGAAGTTTTTATTTGCAAAAAATAATGTTTTTTTTATCCAAGCCTGAACAGACTTGTTTTTGAATGTTAGCCTCTTTTAATTACCCCCACATTTATTTTTCTCAATATTCATATTAAACMATGAAAAATCTTTGTTAGATCACAACAGATTTACTGAAAAATCAAAAGGCAGTGATCCAAAATGCAAATATAATTTGTGWCCATTTGTATCAAAAMGAGGATYAAGTMAAATTTGGTCAAAATGACCTAATCACACGTCCAGGTTCCTGCTTTAAAAGYTACATTTGGACCATTCTGATATYATAAGTGGATCCAGAGAAAAGACTTGACTAYAATACATTAATATTTGGTCTGAATMCTMATTTTATGTCATTTTAATGAGGAATTTTTGAAGTCATTTTAAARAGGAAACCTCAAATAGTATTTGAATATTGAGGTTACCCAGCTGGAAAAAGAAAAAGCTTTACTAGCTCAAAATCTCAAGAMTTTAAGGTGTTTTTCCTCAAAAGTCAGTTTTTTATTTAAAGAATGAAACTTAATCATGAAATCATGGTGAATAAAAGTGTAGATAAAATAACTGAGTGCAGAAAAAGGTCAACATGTTTAATTAGTTTCCTCAGTCTCRTTTAGGTCTTAAAAGTAAAATAACTCTTGCTAAAAATATATTATTCTACTCCTCTGCCTGTAACAGGAAATACATTGAGGCAGCTGTAGTAATTTGTATTTCTGTTTTTAAATGAAAGCAATTAAATTCTGTTTTTAAATTATTAATATCATAAAAACAATATTTTCATTCAAGAGAAGAATTTAATGAACCTCTCAAAGTAAACATTAAATGAACTTTTCCAGTCAGTCTAATTAAAGCNCCTTTTTTTTATCAGAAATAAGAGTTTTATAATGAAATCTATCCATAAAATAAGAAACTATCTCCTGGAGGTTCTGATGGCAGCTGCTGACTGTTGAGAATAAAACAACAAAATGTTTTATTTCTAATATTTATTTTGGTAAAGAGTTCATGTTAATTATTTTGKTTTTGGAGTCAGGTAATCAGACCTTTTTAAAAACACATCAGCAAAGAGAGCATCCATCACCGGCTGCTCCGGGGGATTAACGGGAGCAAAGTTTCCCCGGAGCCGCCGAGGGGACGCCGCCAAAAATTAGCAACCATCTATCAAAAGACGTGATGCGTTCAAACGATCTGGAAAAGGGAGCGCTGGGAGTTTGAACGCAGCAGCATCCCTGTGGACGCACTTCCAGCTGCGGAGGACGAGATGGATGGAGGAGGCTCTCGTATTTACTCCTCAGCAGGAGCGTTTCCTGCTATAAATAGGGACCTGTGTGATGTAACCTGTTGTCACCTCATGGGAAACATCCAGGAGGAGCATCGAGTCTCGTTTAGATAAAAACCAAGAAGACGAGAGAAATTGCATTTTCTGCAAAACTGCTGGTGTGAATGCTTCTTGCTTAGAACTTCAGCTGAAAGCTGCTGAAATTAAGCTGAAAATATTTAATAGCAAAAGTGTTTATGTGAGTTCAATTTGAAAAGCTGAAAGAAGCAAAAAAAATTACTTTGCACAAAAACAGTAAAAGGAGCAAAAATATAGTTGAAATAGCAAAAAACAGCTAAAAGCTAGAATAGCTGAATATATCAGAAAACATATGTAAAAAGCATAAATAGCATAAATTGCAGAAAAATAGCACAAAAGTAGAAAAAGCAAAAAGATGTAAAATTGAAATACCATAAAAAACTAAAATTAGCATAAGAATAAGCTAAAGGTAGCAACCAGAAGTTGTAATTAACACATAGATAATGAAAGTTTTGTAAAAAAAAAAAATACATAGATAAATAAATAAATACAATTAGTAGAAAAAAATGCATAAAGTATAAAACAGTGACAATTTGTGGTAAAATAGCTAAAACAGCTGAAATTTTCTATAAAACAGCTACAATGTAGCTGGAATTTTTTAATTAGCATAAAGAAGCATAAGGAGCACAAGTTTGCTGAACTTAGCATAAATAAGTTGTAATCGCTTCAAAAAATGTGTATTTAGCTTAAAACAGCCAATTTTAGCTAACAGCTAAAATTGCAGCAAAAGCTGAACATAGCAAAAAGCATCTGTAAGACACTTAAATAGCACAAAGTAACAGAAAAAAAAGTAGAAAAAATCAGAAGAATTTTAGCTGAAATAGCAGAAATAAAAGCTAAAAGTATAGCAAAAAGTATCTAAAATTAGCACAAGTGAAAAAGAGCAGAACCAGAACAAAATGTGTAAGGTGCTTTAAAAATTTAAAAACGTTTTAAAAGATTTTAAGGATGTTGAAAACAACTTTATTCATGTTCAATGGCAAAAAATTGCTAAAAAAAAAAAAAGGGAAATAGCTGAAAAAATAAAAAATAGCTGAAATACCAAAAGTCATAGCAGGATTGTCATAAATGAGCTGAACGTTTTGATATATAAATTGTTGAAATAACAGAAAAATTAGTTAGTTAGATGCTGAAAAACATACGGAAGAAAAAATGATCTGAATAGAGTGAATGCTGTGAAGCATTCACACAATAATCAGTTCTGACCATGTTTTAAAGACAAACCTTCGTCCCGTCAGCATCGCACCGATGAACGCTGATCTGTTCCAACATCTGGTTTGATTTCGGAGAGCTCACCTGAGTGTGAGGAGAGGAGGCAGCCATGTTTTCCCTGCAGGCCGTCTTCATCAACTGCTGTCTGGATTATGTTCTGCTCCTCATCGGATCAAACTGTAGTCAAGTGCTGGATCTGTTTAACTTTTCTCTTCTTCCCGCCTCTAACAGCAGCTGCTTGGTAAAACAGCACATGAACAAATGCGTTATTGATCCGCTGTCAGTGGCCCCGGAATAAATAATGTTCTCAGAAAACACTCAGGCAGCAACAATGTTGCAGTCAGGCTAGAGACAGTCGGTCATTTAACAGCATCTCTGGCTCATTTTTTTCTCTCTTTTAAAGAACTGCTCATGAGAGTATTTGAGAAAAAATCAAACATCTTCATAAAAACATTTTTGTGTGCATTTTAACACTGTTGAAGAACTAATTAGTTCCTGATTTTGAAGGTTTTCCTTCATGATTGATTGCATTCAGTTCTGACTTTGTGCTCTCCTTTAAAGGCAACACACATACACACACATACACACACCTGGCATTAAACACGTCTCCAGTTACCACCTGAGATCAAACTGGAACCTAAAATAATTGATTTTATTCTCCACATTATCAAAGTGTTGCTTCACAGATGACAGATCTGTCTGTCTGCAGACGTTTTATTGTGAAAGGGTGTTTTTTTTAACGAGCAGTACATTCCACTTCTGGTTCTGCAGAACCCAGCAGCAGCAGGATTCAGTTCACACACGGTGTCTGCTGAAAATAGGTCTTCAGAATCTGCTGCAGTTTCGCATTTTCCACCATTTTTCCACCAAACTTCTGACGAGTCGGAGGAGACCTGATATCCTGAGAAATGGACTTTATTTTTTTAATAAAAAGAAAGATTCTAAACTTTATTTTTGCCTCAGGTTAGTTATAAACTTATAAATGTCACAAAATAAGGGGATGAGTTGGACACAAAAAAATTATTAGGAATCAGGTGTAGTTTATCAAATGTTTAATAAAGATCAGCTGAGTCATAAACGGTCGTGTAACAACAGAAGAAACAAACACAAGGACTGTGAATAAAGTACACTTTAAAAAATACCTTAACAGAAAATGACTAATTTAACAATAATGTCATAAAACTGCTCACAATAATCAGGAAAATAAAAGTACTTTTACACACTTATTCACTCGCTTTAAGAATTTCCTCTAATTCACAAACATTAAACTCTTACATTACTGAACACAAGGGAAATGTGCAGGAAGAAGAAAATAATAATCAATGAACCTTCATAATTACAAAGTGAGTTTTCTAAACAAAGAGAGAATTTACTTACAATTTAAATTGTAAACATCCTCATTATTAACCCAGAAGTGTTGAAGAATTGATGGTTTTTATCTTATAAAGTGTTTAGAATTGATTTATAGTGAAGCTGATTTTGTTCCACAGTTTTGCACCAAAAAGTACATTAGTTTTAAAGTAACATACACAGTTTCATACTTCCTTCTGTTCTTTCTMTCACTTCATCTTAGGACAAAGAACTTATGTAAATTAATTGGCAATAATCTCCTTTAGCTTTAAACAAGAAGAAATGAAGTTTTGAACTGAGTTGAGTAAATTGAGAATTGCTGTTTACTCAACTGGGTTTAATGGAACCAGTTTGGTTCAGTAAACTTTATTTGTTTTAAAGTGCAGAAACAACTTTTCATGATGAGTTCAGTCATATAGAAAATTGTAATGAGGTGTTCAGTTTTAAAGTAAAGAAGTAAAATTATATTTTTTTATGTTTTGAATACAACAAAATAAAAGTTTCATATAAAAAATAATAATTGGTAAAGTTACAAATCTTTAAAAAAATGACTTGAGTACCTTTACAAAGTAAATGTATTTAGTTATTACAACCCTTAGAGATGAACGAGTGAATAAAAACACATGGAGATCAGTCATATCTTACAAAGCAGAGAAAAAAAGTTAACCTTTGAACAGAATGAGATCTAAATGGAACAAAAGATGCAAAAAGTCCAAAACAAACCAAAACTGTGTCAATAATTGACCAATCAATAATCTGAGCTTTAGGATACTCCTTCTTAACCTTTTATATTCAGCATTTCTCTCCTCCTGTCCTCGTCGCCCCGCRGTGCTTTGATCTCCTCCTCTTCATCGCTTCAAACAGACGTCTGATCAAAGAATAAAATCCCCCGTAGCGCCGAGAAATCCCCCAGCCCTGATTTTTAAATAATCCACTTTGTCCTAAACACAACATCCATCATTAACCTAATGGAAGCAGAGCGAGGCTTTCTTCAGACGCTGTTTTTTTTTTCTTTCTCTCACTCTTTTGTTGTGAAATCAAATCGTTCACTATGTTTTCAGATCAATCCTGTTAATGGTGTCTTTGAATCGTTGGTGTTAATTAAAACCCTGAGTTTTCCCTGAATATCGTCCACATTAGGTGTGTTCACCGTGTTGTTGAGCTGCTTTCAWCCCGCCTGGTGGCCGTGAGGCGAYGTGATGGAGCGGAGAGAACGCACGAGGACTTTAATAGYGCCACGCACCGGCAGAGAACCAGATCTGAGTTCCTGAAATCTGTTTCTTTGATTCCGAACTCAAATGTCAAGTTGAACTGGATGTCTTTGAAACGAACATGAAGCAGGGATGACATTTCCACGCTGCTTCTGCTGCTAAATTTACAATGTTCTTGTCACTTGTATAAAACAGCGTGCCCTCTCAGTGAGCGTGTTTTTTTATTTTTTTATGTTTCAGACTGGCTGTACCTGCGCTCGCTGCTGCGGGCCGCAGACATGACAGCTTCAGTGAGTCACATAGGCGGGGGGAGGGAGGGGGGTGTTTGTTTTCACTGAGTGATGTCGAGACAAATAGGCTGAGATCTCATCGTGATGTTCCTGAGACGAACCTTTTGTGGTCGGGGGACCGCGCCCGGTTTGATCCGGCTTTCATTAAAAGCCTCTGGCGCTGAWTTCAGAGGTGGGTTTGTGCTCGTCGTGAAGAGCAGCGAGCGGCGCTGTCAGCCGGAGGTGAGGCTTGGGTGGGAGGATCTCCTGTCAGGGGTGGAGAGGGATTTAATTCTCCCCAGCGCCACCGCTGGGACGCTTCAACGTTCGGCTCGTTGAACCCGAGGATTACAGAAAACCAACATGTAGGGTTTCTGCTTTTATCACACATGCATCTTGTAGATGAAGAAAAAGTTCACTTCACAGCAAATCAGCAGCTTCTGCTACCACAGCATATTAGTCATTTTGCAGATGAAAAAAGGACAAACTGATCAGACAGAGGTAGCTGAGTGAAGCTGACCCCTCCCAAAAAATGAACCACAGAAAAATAAAATGCAAATTAGATGAGTGGTTAGTGCTTTGTTTGTGCACGTTTGTGCACTTGAAAATGTCATTTGTTTTGCTATGTTTTTTTATATATTAAAGATTAATTGTAAGGGTCATTCAGGGGTCGCCATCGCTCCAAAATGAACCAAATTTGTCGAATTTTGTAGTGCTTTGTTTCAGCAGGTTTGTGCCATTGAAACAATTGTTTGTGCTCCTATAATTTATTAAATATTACACTTTATAATTTCGGACGATCACGGGACTTGGCCTGAATTGTTTATGACGTCACAGACACGTGATCATCTGAAATTATAACGTGTAATATCTAATAAATTATGGCAGCACAAACAGTTGTTTCAATGGCACAAACCTGCTCAAACAAAGCAAATTCGACTAGTTTGGTTCATTTTTGTTTCATTTTGGAGTGATGGTGACCCCTGAATGACCCTTGTAAATACTCTTTAATATATTAAAAACCATAACAGCACAAACGAAGCACTAACTACTCATCTAATTTTTATTTTTCTGTGGTTCATTTTTTTGGGAGGGGTCTGCTTCACTCAGCTGACAGAGCTAAATGAAGGAGAATCACTGAAGCAATAAGTAAACTTTATTTTGTAGCACCTTTTGCAGATATGAATTTCACAACAGAAAAAGAATTTTTAAATCATTCATAGGCTTTTATTTTGAAATGTCCAGTTACCGAATCAGTTGCGTGGCTGTATAAAGTTTGAAATGTTGGATGCTCTGTTGCTTCAGTCACAGTAATTCTCTTACCTGTCCATCGGGCCATGCATCATTTGTTTATAAAATGCATAAAATCAAATATATATTTCATAAATCACACCCTGGSTTTAATGATCCAATCCTGGTTTGAAGTTTCTGTTTTAGTTTTTAAACTAGAGCAAATTAAAAATGCTCAAGGTGAAAACAGGTGGAAACATCCTTTAGCCGTGAGTACGTTTCTGATCGATTTAAAGGGACAATATCATTTAAAATCCACTTTTTTGAGCTTTATTTCACATTATAACATCATTCCCTCATCAAAAACACACATAGTGTTGCTTTGACTCATTAATGCATGTTTGTGATGTTTGTTGTAGCTACTGAGGAGAACAAAAATGACCGGTTGGACCTAGAACCTCCTTTTATGAGCAGCTCCTCCTCTGGGCTGTCTCCAAGCCGAGCTGCCATCACAGAGCRATCAATAAATCTCAAAATTTCTGAGTTTTTTAAATAGATTTTCTCCTTTTTTTCTATCTGCAAAATGGCCATAATACGCCGTCACAGCCTCTGCATTCTGTTTAAAGTCCGAGGCAGAACAAGATTTGCAATCTCCTCACAAAGTCTCAGCACAAAGAAAAGCCTTACCTTCAGGATTAGGAGGCAGTGATTGTTTATTGACAATACGCTCACTTCGTTTAAAGCCAATTAATGATTCATTCACACTTTATGACAACTTCTTCAGAGTTAAGCTGTTAAAAGAAACTTAAAGCTTTACGGATGAGTGGAGACACAAAGGAAAACTGAAAGGTTAGATCGGCACAAAAACAATCACTTCAGCTGACAGAGATTTATCTGTTTCATCAACAAAACACAGCTGGATCTGACTCATTATCAGAGAACTGTTAGCAAAGTTAGAGGAGCTGAAACATTTTAAAACAAATATTAAACAGAGCATGGAAGCTCAGGAATATTCTCAGGATTAGTACTAAAAATGTATTTATAAATATAAATCTGACGATTTTCTTTCCTTTTTTCCATCTTTAATTTTCCCTCGGTTTCTAAAAAACACCTTAAACAAGAATAAATCTTYGGTGCATTTCTGTGAACTGGCAGCTGAAGGATGAACTAATTATTTATTTAGACTTGGAGTCTATTTGACCTTCATGCAGTTTATTAATTTGCAAACATCACAACCGGTTTAGAGGTTTTAAATGTTCCGAGTGAAAAAGATGTTTGTTTCCGTCACCTTGAACAAGAAACTTTTATTCAGCGTAGAGAAAAAAAGGCTTCATGATTAAAAAAAATAATCTGTGTGCAGATTTTCTGAAATATTTTAAGTAATATTAGTTGGTTCTAAAAATAAAGTTTAAAATTTACAATGAAAATCTGACATTTGTCTCTTTGGAGTGTTTTTTAAAAAAATAAAGTGTCATTACTTTCTCTTTTTGAATAATTTTCCCTGTAAATTAGTCAAATAAGCAASTTAAAGAGGACCTATTATGGTTTCTTGAACAATAAAGGACATCTGTGGGCGACAAAAAACATGTTCATTAGATTTAAAACTAATTGTTTTCAGATGAAATTTCACCTGGTCAGTTCTGCCTGTTCTGACCTCCCTTCAGAACAAGCTGTTTATGCAAATAAGCTGCTGTTAGCTCCGCCCTTGTTATGCCAGGTTACTTGGATTGTGACGCAACAATCCACAGGTTTTAGAAACATTTGCTGACACGAACAAAACATTTGCATATTGACTTGGACTGTTTCTGGGAGCAGTACAGACCCAAACTGAAGCATAAAAACATGTAAAAAGTGAATTTTGCATAAAGATTTCTTTCCGAACAGCAGAAGACTGTGAACTWCAAGATGCTCCATCAATGTCACCTCTGTGGATCTGAGAGGAATCCAAASCAAACCCAGATGTGTTTCTTCCTCTGTAGACTGAATGAAGGGTSTTTACATGGTCCGACTCGAGCAGGAAACCAAAACCTGAGTCTTTGTTTTGGTTCGATCCGTGCAGGTTTCTTTAAAAATGTTGCTTCAAACAGAAACACTTTGAATCCTAAAACTTTAACTCATTTTTCTAATCATTAACAAAGACACTGGTTTTAAAAGTTCACCAGCCTAGAGAAGACAGGATGTAATTATGTGCTGATATACAACATCCAAAAAAACCCTGCAGGTTTATTATATCTGCCTTTAAATAAGGAAGAATGTAGAGTTTATCATCTGACACGTCTCTAATTAGCTCTGAGGGTTTTCCACTGTGTTACTTCACATTTGCAAGGCCTAACAATTACATTATTTCTTTTATTTCAGTTCAAATGCAACGTGGACATACTGTAACTTTAACAGCAGAGGAGAACGTTGACAGCTCACTAAATGACATGAATAATAATTCAAATTTCAACCAGTCGACTATTTCAGGTCCAGAACTGAAAGCGTTCTGATTATTTCTCATTGAATCTGCTTTATGTTCTGTCAGGGACGTGTTGGGGAATGTGGAGGTGATGCAGCTGGACTTTGAGATGGAGAACTTCACCAGCCTCTCTGTGACCCGGAGGATCAACTGGAACATCGACTACAGGGGCCAGAACCCGGTGCCYGACTCAGAAAAGGTGGTGACGGAGCTGACGGTGGTGCAGCGGGACATCCAGGCCATCATCCCTCTGGCAATGGTGAGCACAAAGAAAWCACGACTCATATGGATGCAATATAACGTTTATTGAATCATTCGTTTAAATATATCAATTAAATCACTCAATTCATGTGGATAAACACAAACTGAGTGTTGATATCATTTCAAAAAATCATTTTTGCGACCTCCGAAGACTACAAATTTACACAACGTGTGGGTCCACTCCACAGTGGTGGAGTGAAACCTCATGTAGTGTAAATTAGGGGTTCATTTAGACTCTTGAGTCATAATTTAACTGTTTTTGAAAACTATTGGTTGTTTATTTTTAGAGGTCGCTGTAACAAAGCGCGATCGAGTTGATTAAACACAAACATAATCAACATCTACGCCGACGACTTGGTGATTTTTAGKAGTGTTGCTTTTCTTTGTCTGTGARAAGTGGGAAATGTAGTGAAGAGATTCTGGAAAGAAAAGGTCTTTGATGAAGCAGAAGAAGATGTGATTGTCTCCTGCCTTCAGCTGTTTTTTGGTTTATTCATTGAAAAGACAGAAACGACAGTATTTGACAGTAATGATGTTTTATGGTGGATGATTTATGGCTCTAAAAGGCCGGACGCAGGCGGAGAGGACAGCAGAGGGTCATAAAAACAGGTGACTGGTTTTCCTCGAGAGCATTTAGTTGTGTTTGTGTTGAGCTTTAAGAAGATGCTGGTCTGGTTGCACGCTGCCACATAAATAACACTAACAGTCTTTCCTGTGTGTAGCAACAGACCTGATACTTGTGTCAGGATGATGACTCTCGTTGTCTGCTTTGTATTTGCATAATTAAAGCTGCTCTGCTCATGAGGTTCCATTAAATCTACTTGAGCTGCAGTTATGGCTTTGTGTACGGCACATCTGTCGAAACATAAGGTTCACTTAATATCCCTTGTCCTCTCCACATTTGGGATTTTCATGCATATTGTCCCCAGATGTGTGGAGCARCACAACAGAATGTGCTTTTTTTGTTTATTTATTTTTTACTTTGCATTAGAAAAGAACTTCTCGTGTATAAAATTAAGCCAGCCTCTGTCACTGGTTCTGTAATTAGGGCTGTTTGGTGATTTTTGCTTTTCAATGACTTCTGCTGAAAGAACTTGTTAAATCTAAATTAGGCAAAAATGAGCTGTTTTGTCATTTATTTCCATGCTAATTTAAATAATCTGAAAACAAACGATCTCTAACAGATTGCAAAAGGAGGTCTGCGTCCAATTAAAGAAAAGCTGACGCTGTTCAACACAAGCAGATATGAGTTAAAAATAAATAACAAATGATTTTATTTCCACTCATTCAGTCCCTTTAAGTTGTTGTTTTCGCCTCATCGTGCTCTGACTTCCAGATGTAACAGGATCRCATGTCGTCAGATTGATAGATGAGATTTAATCTGTCATTTCCTTTGAGTGGATTGTGGACTATGGCAAAAATCCAGCTGCTCCAAAAAGAGATTTGATTCTGTCAACATCTGAGATTTATGAGCTGAAAACAAGAAATCTGATCAAAAACCCACAATAATATAGTTTTTTTTCATCCTTTCCAGAAAAAATGAGGTGACACAAAAGAAAATGTATCGTATTACTAGTTTACACCACTGTGCAAAAGTCTTAAATCRTTCCTAATCACTTCATAATTCATAAAACCAGACTTTTGTTCTAGCTTTATAAAGTGACTTGAAGTGATGCTCTGTAAAAATAATCGTGCTGCTTTTCTTCAGTTTTATCCAAAACTTTTCAGAGCAAAAAGAACTGTTTGTTAAACCACTCATCTCTGATAATATGCCTTATGTAAGTCACAGGACAGACATTGACAGACAGATGACACAGACAGGTGAGAGTAAATTTACTTAATTTGTTTGCAACAACTGAAACTTTTTTCTTCACACGAGTTCAACTAAACATCAACAGCAAGTTAGCAACAAGCTAACATTAGTTTACCATCCTCAGTTATCCTGCATAGCCCTAAAGACAGTTTTTATTTATTTATTTATTTATTTATTTATTTATTTATTTATTTATTTATTTATTTATTTATTTATTTATTTATTTATTTATTTATTTATTTATTGCTTAGGCTCCTCATCTCTCCATAGAAGCTGTTTAATTGTCTGTGTTCACCGGTTGGAGCAGCTTTTCTCTGAGATAGAAATAAAACAGAAAGACACAACAGAGTTTCACTCTGTTTTCCCAGCCACATCACAGCTACATGGTGTTTTATTTATTTATTTCATTTTTATCTTTTTGTGTTTTCTTCTGAAAACTGAGGTAAAATGTTCTATGATGTGCAAAATAAGGTAATAAAAAGACATAATGAAAGCCTTTTATGTAAAAACAGAAAAGAATAACAATTTTGTCTGATAAAGACACATTGAAAAATTATTTTCATAATTTGAACATTTTAAAAATTCTAAAAAAACATGGCAAATTGAATTATTCCTTTCTTAGAAAAAAGGAAAAAGTTTAGCCCATGACAGCTTTATTTCCCTCCTGTAGGTTTACTTCACACCATACAGTTAAAGCAAACAAATTAGTAAAATATACCTGGAATGTGAGAGTTTGTGGACCTGCTTTGCTGCCTTCAACACCTAATTAAACGAAATGACAACTTTGTGAAATGACTGTGTTTTTGCGCTCTGAGCTGAATTTAGGTAGGCTTAATTAGAACTCCCACTGCTGCACATATTAATGTGGAAAGTGTCCCGTGCAGTGAAAAGCCTAACAGATGCCAAAACAGGAAGAGGAGCAGAGGAAGGCTGTCTTTCAACCAGGATTTAGCCCCAGAGAGCAGTCAGTTATCCACGCAGGTCTGCTGGGGTTTGATGCTGGAAACTGGCCAGACTTTAGAAAACTGAAAAAAAGAGAGGTTTTGTTTTGAAGCTGCTTATGCTAAAATATTAAGGTTAGTTACGAGACTGTAAACTGATCAACAAGCTGTAGACTTTGATTGGTTTCAGACAAGATGACTCCTGTGATCAGCAAGAAACCGGCTCAGTAAACAGAGAATATGTTACAAGTACAAAACTGCATTGATTGGATTTATWATTTAAGTGTGCTGGACTTTGAGGAAACATCAATGTGTTTAAAGTTKCAGGCAGACTCTGCGTTCTTGGCCTGTTTTGCTTAACATTTCATGGCCCGCTGCTGTCTGGACAGATGAGGATGTTCTGTACCGGAGCGGATTCWGCAGCTGCAGATGGAGGCCTTTTTCTGAGTTTGTCTCAAAAGAAAAACATGAAAACAGTTAATCACACAGTGGCGTACGTCTCAGGGTCTGAAAGAGGCGACAGCGCTGCAGTTATCTCCTCTCCATTAGGACGACGGCTCCTTTCACTTTGGTAAAAACTGTAAACCCGACGGGTTCAYAGATGTAACAATGAGCCACTKTTACATTTATATGTCAGATGCTTAATTGTCAGTAAAAACACAGTTGTATAGACGAGTTAAAGGGGGTGGGGGTGTATTCTAAATCACAATCAAGTAAATGTGTTACATTCAGTTTTTCAGGAAAAGCTGTATAAATCAAAAATAAATTTGWKTTTGCATCWCAGTCCATCTTCACAACAATGCCCTCTGACTGAGCTCCAGGGAGGAGCTTTGTGTAAATAGGYGGAGCTTTGTATCMGAAAGTGTTAAGGCTGCTCCACATGGCTACCACAGGAGATTCAATGACTTTTTAAACATGCATGAATGAGTCAAAGTGACACTTGAATGACATAACATGACATAGCCCCGCCCACTTTAAATAACTATACAGCCATTGGGTTTTTAATTAGTTTGTTTTGGTTGTTTGAGTGTGTGTGGGTGTGTCTTCATTAGCAGGCCTCTTCTTGTCATTCCCTYTGTGAAAACATAAACTACAAACCTAAACTTTACCTTTTAAGTATTTGAATAGACACTTGTTTGAACTGCAATAACATAAAAGCAAACAGTTCAAAGGATGAAAGTATGACATCATAGTCRTGTAAATACTTACCACTCCCAGCAGGTGTGCAGACAAATGCACCATAACAGGAAATAGTTGGAAAGGGCGGTGGGGTTATCAGTATAGTGTTTTTTAAGTTTGGATAATAATTATGGGTATTAAATTAACTATATTTCATTTGTATTTGTTTGTAAATATTGTCTGTTTAGTTAATGTAAATCACCTTTTATTCTCCATTTAGTCATGTATAACTGTTGTTTCTCCCCTGGAAATAGTTTCTCCCAATTTAGATCCACTTGTATTGAAGCAGTCCGTTATTGTTTGTTTGTTTGTTTGTTTGTTTGTTTTGTGGGTTGGTGACACGGCAGGTCAACAATTAAAAGAAGTTTCTCTCAGCTACTTCAGCACCAGATTTTAGCTCAACATTTGTTAATTTGTCCGACTTAAAGACATTTTTCTGGCGATGTTTTGCCAACAAACATACAAATAAACAGAAGCAGTTACATTCCGCTTTTAAAGCAGCAGATTGTAAATATTTCAATCAAAACACAGACTTGTGCTAATAAAACATTAGCAATAAATAATCAGTTGATTTTGTGCTACAGCTCTAACTTTTCATTTCTTACTGGAGATACTCAGACTTCCATACAAGTTCGTTATTATTTCATGCAAACTATGTRAAATATTAAGAAGTGAGCCTTGATAGAAGTTCACACTGTTGATTGCCTGATGCTGTTTTATACAGTTAGGAGTCAAAGCGTGAAGATCTTGTTTTTTTAGGTGGCGAAACCAACTTTTCATGAAAGGAAGCTACTGTACAGCATCAGACGTGATGATGTCAAACATGAAAACAAACTGAATGAATTTAGAAAATGTGACCAAGTGTTTTTTATGTTTCTGGTGAAACAGAAATGGTGACAGAACTCAGAGTTGAGTGTTTGTGATATTCCCTCAATTACTGAACAGATCGTAGCYCCGAAGTTTACAACAAGACAGACTTTACAGTTAGCAGATGGAAAATAAATGCTAAATATGGTGGTTGTGATCAGAGCTGCTGCTTTAGCATGAAGGAGGATAACTGTATTTTCTTGTAACAAACTGATTTGCCCGTGTGTGATCTAAAGGATGGACCACAGAACAAACTTTAAATTATTCATTGTGAACCGTAGTGTGTGTTTGTTAGACTGACTCGTGTCACATGACATCATTAGCTGTTGTTTTTTGTTGCTGTTTGATAGTCTGAGTTGATAAAACCTAAGTTTGGTTCTTTGAAAGAACCTAATCATCAGGTTTAACCACAATCCACAGCCTGAAAATGCTAAAGAGATCACATCTGGAATTATTGAGTTGATTTTTGTTTTAGATATTTCTTAAGTATTATTGRATAATTCAAAACATACACTGCAATTAAACAGTTGCCTTTTCAGCCCACCATATCCCAAAATGCATTGTGGGCCGACCAGAGATTTTTTTTCTGCTCATAATGGTGGACGAAGCGATAGATAAGAATACAGTTTTAAATCAAATATGTTGGTATAAAAATTAGAAGTTTCAAGCCGTTGTGTTGTCACTATTAAATATTAAAAAATGGCCCAGAGAGTTCTACTGTTSTTCTTCTATTTGATTTCACCAAATGTTTAAGTGATAGTCGATCACGATCATACAGGATGGTTTTTTCCCTGTCTTTTGAAGATGATGGGTCCCACTGTCATTCCAGTTTTTAATGTGTTGCACAGTTCTTAACCCGATTTTAGTAGTTTCTGCAATCTCCTTAGATGTTTTCTCTGCTTGATGCGTAACAATATCTGTGTTTCCATTGACCATGAAAATGCGCGAATTAGAATTTCGAAAATAAATTTGCTCAATGGAAACACGTCAATTTCGAAAAAGGTTACGTTTTTCGACAAAATGTTTTTGCGCTCGGATGAGGTGGTTTTTCGGCCGTGTCGAAATTGGTGTTTTTCACAAAACTGCAATGGAAACACTTTTTTCGCATCACGAGAGTCACGTGATCAACAACCGGCTGTTTCTACTGGCTAACAACGGGATGACGAAGAAGATAACACGAAGTAGAAGTAGTAGTAACATCACAGAAGTAGTAAAATAAACTAAAGTAGTAAATTCACCGACTACAATTTCCCAAAAACACAGCATACGTAGCCGCTCCCAAGTAGGGACTTGTCTCTAGAAAGCCTCGATAAAAAACGCTGACATTTCCTCTGATGATGAGCGCTAGTGTCGCGATAGCAACATGCTATGTGTTTATATCCATCGCCATGTTTGTAATGACGTATCATGAAAACAAACGTATTCAGACGTGACTTTAACAGCATTTCTTACTTAATAGAAACACTGCAGTTGCGAAACTGTGTTTTTCGACATTGACAGAATATCGACAAAGTTTTGCGCACATTTGTAATGGAAACGCAGCTATTCTCAAACAGGTCTAGCATCTTTTCTGCAACCACGGGATGAGAAGCAACTCATTGCATCAGTTGGGGTTAAATAATTTGTTGCCAGCTGAAAGATAATCCCACACAMTGTAATTATCAACTAGGAGGCTATTTGCTTAGTTAAATACAGGCGAGTTCTTCTTTGGGCCAGGCAGTATGTTTGAGCTGAAGCTATTCTCTTTAAAAAGGCAGCTGCTGCATCCTGATTAACGATGGGTTAAAGTGTTCAGTTGTTGGAGAAAACACCATTAAACCAGGGTAAAAAGGACTAAAGGAAAGTCATAATGTTGAGTAACAGATTGGGATAAATTCAACCATTTGAAGCTAAAGTGGTAAAACTCCAATCATATTAAGATTAAATGCATCAGTCTGTGCATCAATACTGTAAATGTCTTGCCTTTTTTATTTTAGCCTGATATTTAAGCTTTAAAGAGCACAAATGGCATTCCAGAATGATTAAAGTAAAGAATTACTTTTCTGTCCTTTCCATCACCGCCTCTTACCTCCTCTCGCTCATTGGGAGGGAAAAAAAAGAATTCTTAAAATGAAAATGTCAGCTGATGAAATCCAATGAGAGACATTTTAAGCAGAGAGAAATGAGTTCTGGTCCGGCGCTGAGAGCGTCACCTGGCCGACACGGGGGCTGTGATGGTAACTGTGTTTAAATGTGAACCTCGCCGATGGAAATATCAAAGAAAATCGCTCTCTGCCTCTCGCCGCTCCATGATTGCCGTGTCTATTTTCTCCCTCCGCAGGACACCGAGATTATCAACACAGCTGTTCTGACCGGACGCACTGTGGCCATTCCTGTCAAAATGGTCTCCATAGAGATGAACGGGGCCGTCACGGACGTCTCCGCCTCTGTGCAGTGCAAGTCGTCCAACGAAGACATCGTAAARGTACGGTAATCTGGGACAGGATGTAATCTCTTTAACCCTCCACAGCACATCTCCAAGAAGGCATAAAAACCACATTTTGACCCGCTCCACATGTGTAYCTGATTCGATTCTTGCCTCCCGCCTCAGATAAAACCCGTGAAAGGTTCGACGCATAAATCAATAAGGTCACAAATGAACTATAAAAGCTCCATTAGATGCTTGTAAAAATGCCACACCTACGGCTCCTCCGGGACCGACCCTGGTCCGGTGTGTTCTGCTGGATGTCTCTTCTGGTTCACTGGAACAAGCGTTGCTCACACTTGAGGCCGACCCACCAGAGAGCCACACCAGTTCCAGTTTGTCCATGAAATAAATGAAAGATCTCAACAAGCTGCAGAGAGTGTTAGACACACTGTTGGTTGTTTTTACTCCAAACAGTCATGAATCCAGTTTAAGCTGGTTGCATGACTCTACAGAGCAGGGCTCTCAGCTCTTCTAGAATTTACTCATTTCTACATCCGGCCTGTGATTCGGCTTCTGGCCCACAGAGGTCCAGACTTTAAAAACCAAACTATATGAGTAATGAAGAAAATTTAAATATATATTTATATTGTGGACCTTTGCTTTAGGCAGACCTCACTGCCTCCTAATTGAAGACGTTTGGAACGGAGCGCAGCGATGCGTCACACTGTTGATATTAATGAAAGTGATGGTGGAGAAAAAGATGTAGCTTTGGAAGGGAGTCTGTGATAAATAATGTATGTTAATATATTCAAATATGCAACAGTGCAAACAGTGCAGCTTCGCATCTGGTTCCATTTTTGGCCCATAAATTTCACCCTTTAAGACTTTAGGCAAGCTAAAAGAAAACCTCTAAAAACTGAAGCAGTTTGTTAAAAACCATCCTTCTGTAACCTGGAGCTCTACTGAAAAACAAGACATCAGAAATCCAAAATGTTTTTGATCATTTAAATG